AGACGGGATAAAAAATGGGCTAAAATAAATTGTGAAATAAATAAAAATAATAATAATATTTAAATTTAAATAGATCAAATCGAAGGTTTTCGAAATTTCAGTAAGAGCGGCCGACCCCACTTTTCCCTTAGTGGGTTCGCCCTTGGAGCTCACTATCTACTCATAAGCTTATCAGCTTGCCCAGGAGCCCATATATTTCTTTTTTATTTTTTGAAATGTGACCAAACGATCATTTTTTTTTTATGATTCTACGAGTCACGCTTGAGCAGCCACTTCTTTTGGATTACTTTTTGACAAAATTCCTTTCAGTTGAGCCCAAGAGATTAGACTGAGCAGTTCGTGGGCTGAGCCCGGGAAAGTTGAGCGAGCGAACTGACAAGTTGCTCGGTCCAATTACTACCCTTGTGTTCTCGTCTTCAAATTTGTTAGATTTTGACTTTTTGGGCTTGATTTGACTTCGATTTTTTTTATTTTTAGTTTTTATTATTATTATTTTTTTTTAAGCTTCAAGTTGGTAGCAATGCATCCATGAGGCAAAAAAGTAAGACAAGTGGCCACACTATTGGGCTCTGCCCTTGATTGAAAGTATCTTCTATAGTGTCACACAAATCGCTCATATATTCGAAAAATCCTTTGGTTCCTTGTCAATGATATTGTCAGAAATTAAAAATTATGTACAAACCAATAGAGTAGGAGCCAAGAATCGAAATGTGTGACAATGTTACTCCATGATAGAAAGTACTAAACTTAAAAGGTGTACTATATTAATAATAAAAGTTATATAAGTTACTTTAATTTTAAATAAAGTTACTGTCAATCGTTGAACAATTTAGAAGTGAGTTGTTCGCATGTGCATCGAATTAATTTAATTCCAGCAATTACTGATTACCTACAGTAATTACTTGTTCAATGACAATCAGTAACGTTAATCATGGCATTTTTGATGATGAAAAGACACAAAAACAAAACAAAAAAAAATGGACCGTCGGATCTCCTGTCTCTGTCAATCAATAAAAAATGTCGTCATTGTAAATATCCTTTTATTTTTTAATGAAGTAATTCGCGGCCTCACGCAATCCGACAGTTATTAGCTGCAACCACCCTCCCACTTATTTGGTACAACCGCCCCATCTAATCATTGAAAATATAGTTGTGGAGGTGAAATTCCAATATATCTTTTAATTAAAAACAAACCATCTTTTATTACTATTGATCAAAGTTGAACTTGCATTGCATATTATTTTAAAATATTTTATAAATAATAAAAAAGTAATATTTAGTATCAATTTGTTGAAGGATTTAATGAGTATTGGACGAATTAAAGAAAATAAAATTATATTCAAATTGTACTCTCGAAACTCAATTTTATGATTCAAATTTTTTGTAATAATGAAATACATTTTTTTTTATATTACATTTGATACATTTTAAAAATAAAAAATTTTCAAATAAAAAAACTCCAAAAAATAATTTGTCCCTGTAATTTTCTATTTCTTTTATTGATATTCGAAAACTCTCGAAACTTTTAAGATATTTTAAGTAGAAAATAAACATCCTTCCATAGTGATAGTGCCCACTAACCAACAAGTCTTAACCTATAATCATTTGATAAATCCAATATTTGTCCAACTTTATGCTTTATTATTAGTGTATGCTTTGTATTCAATTTGAAATTTGAAATATCTTTAAATATTATTTAAGTAAATAATTTTTGTAGGGGTTAATGAACTTTAATTGACTTTTTACAGGATCAATAATTTATTGACTTTTTTCATTCAAAAATAAAAAAATAAAAATTTATGTATATAATTTATTGAACATTCTTCTCAACCACTACTTGTAGGACCAAATTATCTAAATCACACTGGAACAAAATTTTATTTTTGATGTCAATAATTTTTTTTTTTTAAAGAATGTGAAAATATGTCAAACAAACTTAAAAAATAAACAACTAAAATATTATAAAAACATAACATTTCAATACTTTTTGGTTGAAAAAAGTCGACTTAAAAATCTTATAAGATCTTTTTTTTTTTATATATATAAATTGGTATTTATAGAAAAGAGAAAGAAAAAAAAATATTGATTTCTTGTTTCATGGTTCTAAGGTTAATAGAAAAAAGGAAAAGAGAAATATTACATATGCAAATACATTTGTTTTTGTGAAAGTCTTTCAATTTTTTTATTTTTTTTATTTTTTTTTTGGTTGGTGGGGGGGGGGGGTTGTTAAATGTTTGGAAAGAATTTTATAATTAAAAATTATTAATGTTTTGAATACATCTTGACTTTTAAAACTTGTAAGAAATATTGATTTAACATCGCATACCAACTTTTAAAATCTTGATTGAATATGGTAGACTTTTTGGAATTTTAAAAGTCTTTAAAAATCTAGATTTGAACATTCCTTTTTTTTTTTTTTTTATTATTGTATACACTATTCAATTCCTATCTTACAAGGCATCCTACAAAATTTGAATTTTTCTAATAAAGAATTTGAAATTTTTTTGACATAAATTTAGCTAAAGTACTAATTTTGTAATTCACAAAAATTACCCCTAAATAAAATTTTGTCAAGTAGATTAGATGGTTGTAAGCACCATATACAAGTATCCATTTACTAAATATAAGTCACATTTTCTTCAAAACAAAGAAGATGTTCATATCATCTTAAACTTGTGCTCACATTCAATTAGTTAGACAAATTAAATTATCCAACAAAGAATATAAAATTTATTTTTCTTATAGCATCTAATTTCAAACAATGTTGTTTATCAAAGTAACGGTATTCATTATTATTGTCTATGATCATCCATTTTTGTGATAATCAGATCTATTTCATTGTCATACAAGCGGATCATTATCAGCCATGAAAATGAATAACACCCCTATTTCACAGTTTTTAAAAAGGGATTTATTATTATTATTATTATTATTTCAGAAAACTAGTTTTGAAATAGTAATATCTTGAAGAATGCGTGTTTAAAAAATAAAAAATATTTTTTAATTTATGTACAAAATATTTTATTATCAGAACATGCGGTTGAAAATGAGTTAAAAAAAAAGTTTTATTCTAATAATTGTAACAAAGGGCTAATTCAACTTTGCAAGGAAAAAAAGATAATACATAAACAAAATAAACAATTTTAGCAGAAATTGATGTTTATAATCAATGAATTTTCACCAAATATCATCATCGTTAGAGGTCGCATAGCACCCAATGATTGCCACTTGGAGATTCTCACGTCACCATGTCACCACCTAACGCCATCACTCCTCCCCCCCCGACCCCACGAGCCCCGCCATATGACTCCTACGTTTCCCAGGAGACGGGCGCGCACAAAAACCTCTTTTTCTCCCATTTTTTCCAGGCAAAGAAAATGCAACAAAAATCCAGGTCGCCGCCGGCGGAAACTCCGGTCTACCTGCCTCCAACCCCTGAATTTCCGTCGACCGACGCCGGCAATGTAACCGGCAATCCCAACGGCTCCTCCCTCTTTGACTGGTCTGATTTTCTTGATTTCGACATGGATGATAACTTAAACCTCGCCTTCGATCCACAAGTCATCCACGGACCCGAATCAGAATCCGGACATGATGTTGACCCGGTCCAACCTCAAAGTCAACAGCCCAGCAACTCAACCAAGGTGAGGAAGAGGGACCCGAGATTGATCTGCTCGAATTTTTTGGCTGGTAGGGTCCCGTGTGCTTGCCCGGAGTTGGATGAGAAGCTGGAGGAGGAGGCGAGTAGGGATACTCCGGGTAAGAAGCGGGTTCGGACTGCTAGGAATCCGGCTGGGGCCACGGCCCGGTGTCAGGTTCCGGAGTGCGAGGCCGATATTAGCGAGCTCAAAGGGTACCATAGGAGGCACCGGATCTGCTTGCGGTGTGCCAATGCGAGTACAGTGGTTCTTGATGGCGAGAGCAAGAGATATTGTCAACAATGTGGAAAGTGAGCTCATTTTTAATTGTGTAGTAAATTTACATACGTTTTAGATATGGTTTTTAATGTTTAATTTACTTTTCCCGAGGTTTTTCCGAAATTGAATTCATGATGAAATGAGTTTTATAATAGAATATTTTGGTGGGCAAAAATCGTTTTCCCTTTTTTCTATTATTAATATGATTATGGTTTTCGTCATTTAGGTTGCGTGCTTTATACTATTTCAAAAAGAATCAACAGTAAAAGAGTTACAATGGATCGAATACTTGAAACAAACAATAGGATACTAAAGAAGAAACATAACCCATGGATTATAGTTGATTTCCTTTAATAGTAGGCTAGGAAGTAAAAGGTTAAATACAGGAGTACAGGTGGTGAAAGATATGATATTTATGTTAGGATAGGTTTAATTTTGTAATTACGTTGTATTGCGATATATCGGTGAAGTGGAATTTTTTTTATAAGTTGACTTGTTTTGATGAATGCACATTTAAGACGTTCATATAGAAACAAATCAAAGTTGTGAATTTGTGAAATGGATTACGACTTTTATAGGGTCAATTACATTTAAGTATTTTCATGTTAGTATCTTTAAAATTAATGCTGAATGTCTCTTGCAGTTTACATCTGTTGCCCTAAAGGGAGGTTTGCCACACCATGTTTTGTTGGCTGGTTTATATGCCTCTGCACGTGTAAAAAGAACATGCACGAGGATATATTTTGGGGTCTTTAAAATATTGCAGGCTTGGTGATTCAAAATGGAAATACATCCTCAGATGACTATAAATATTCTGCATATAACTATGATTGTGGGAAAATTATTCACAACCGCGATGTGTGCTCACAATTTCTGACTGAGTTCCGTTGGGGTTTTATGATGTTGATGATCGTGAATCGCTAATTATAAGGATTGTAATGAAAATAGGTTCTTGACAAGGAACCTCTGATGAGAGTGATTTTGTTTAAATGCCTGGGTTGATAGCTATAAATACTTGTATATGGGATAATTTATTTACCGGAAAGAATATTTATTGAGCAAAGATTCACATAGCTTTAAGATTTGGTCTGACCTATTTGCTGAATAATTGGGAAAAGAATTTGGACACTGAAGTCACATTAAAATAAAATTTGTGGCAGGATAAAGTATTAAATAAAAAATCTTGAAACTATTTATGCACTCAGGTTTTATTCCCTACATTATCAGTGGTGGAGTATTTGGACTATCTATATTTGAATATTGTGCACAACTAATGGTGGAAGTTACTAAATTCAGATATTTGGTTTAAACCAGGCTCGTGCATAGTATTTAAGCAATTTAGCATGGTTTCAAATTTTGACTGAACGATAGGTTTTACTTTTATTGAATGAAAAGAATCTTTGAGATTCACATAGCTTCAAGATTTTGTCTGACCGATTCACTGAATAATTGGGAGAAGAACTTATGCTCTAAAATCAAATTGAAATAAAATTAGTGGAAGGATAATCATTAAATAAGAAATCTTTAAACAATTTAATCACTTGGGTTTTATTCCCTACATTTTCAGTGGTGGAGTATCTTCAGCATAACTACTTTGCCAGATTGATAGAAACAGTTAGATGTATATGCTATTTTAAATCTTCCAGTTATTTACATTAGAACCTCTAAAAAGATGAAAGTGCCCATTACTTTGTCTGACTAGGATTAATTGGCACTTGATTTTCATTTATACCTGCTCATGCTAATTTTTCTACCCTTTTGCAGGTTTCACATTTTGTCAGATTTTGATGAGGGCAAACGTAGTTGTAGAAGAAAATTAGAACACCACAATAGGAGACGTCGACGAAGACCTAATGTTTCTAAAGGAAGCATCGAGAAGGAATCTCAGCAGGTTGTTTTAGTTGACGATGTCAGCTGCGATGATGACACTGGAAAAGGTATGAACATTCTCTCAATATGATTATTATATTAACTGTGGAAAAATTTGTCTGTTTCTGCTTTGACAACTTCTCTATTTCTTTTGCCTAGACATGTCTGTAGGAGTGGATGATCTTGTAAATGTTTGGCACTAAGTATACATCTTGCAGGGCTTTGATTTATCTCCATTTATACATGCATTTGACGATGCTGAAATTTGTGTGAATACTTTGCATTTTTGAAGTTATTGAATTCTGGATGCCACAGATAGCATATGCTTGAGCAGTCAGATTGCTGAACCAGAAACTTTGTTGGAGTCAGAAGGACACGTATCGACAATAAGCTCAGGTCTTGGTTCCCGTGCTATCCAGAGTGAAAGTTTTTTGTCATTTGATGCTTCTGGTGAAACTCATGTCAATGGGAAGAAAGAGAATCCCAAACAGAAATATTCTCTATCCTGTGAGAACAAGAGCACTTTCTCCTCTGTGGTAGGTCCAATGCTCCGGTGTGTAAATTATTACTGTTGCACTGGCTTATCTAAATTCTGCTTTTATGTATTGTAGTGCCCTGCTGGTCGGATCTCATTCAAGCTCTACGATTGGAATCCTGCAGAGTTTCCTCGACGACTTCGGCATCAAGTATTCTAAAGATTAATGTTACAGTTTAGTGTATAAGGGAGAGGTTAAATGTTGTTTGTATCGAAGATGTGATCGATTTTATTTAACACCCTTGTCAATATTTGTGCAGATATTTGAATGGCTGGCCAGCATGCCTGTTGAACTAGAGGGGTATATCCGCCCAGGTTGTACAATATTGACAGCTTTTATTGCAATGCCCAAATTAATGTGGCTGAAGGTAATTTGGATTTATTCTTTGACATTCATCTATCGGACTTATGAAGTTAATTATTAATGTTGAATATTAACTCATTTGTGTTGCACTTATGATTCATTAGTCTAGAACTAAATTAATTCCACTTTGAATATGCTATAGTATTCACTGAGGGCAGTGGTCATTTCTATCCTTTTTTGTACTTGAAGTTTCAGCCACATAGTTCCTACGTTGGATTAAAGTCATTAGCGACTTCACTAACATGAAGGGCATGTTTGGCATATGGGATTATAATTCGCAAAATTTTCGCTTCTTTTTAATCTTTGTACCACCTTACCAAATAAACGTAAAAATCGTAGAACTTTCTGACCAATGTTATATTTTTTTCATGTAAAGATTGCTATATCTTACTCTGTAGCACTCTGAAGATGTTTGTTCTGGAATTTGCTTTAGTCCTATTAGTCCTTTTCATTACCAATCTTCCACAAAGACATCTGTGAACAAGTCTTCTATTTCCCTTCTGCATCTCTTTCCCACCTTTTCTTCTGCTTGTTCTCTCTTTCGTGATAAACTCAACTGCAACAGATTAACTACTTAAGTGAAATCACATGGTGATCTTATTACTTCTCACGTTACATGCCTATGTTGTTTTCTGACAGTGAAAACGGCTGCAACTTTTATTTTTATTTTATTATTATCTGTGCATTTCTTTTTGGGTGAGTTAGGGCTGTTAAATGCTGTAACTTAATCACTTTTAATGAGGTACGGGCTTTTCTTGTAGCTCTGAAACGCATAGTGCCTAAGGAGGGAAATTTTGGCGGACAAAAGTTCTGCATTCCCTCGATGTAATGTAACATCTAAATGGATCCTTTTATATCTTTTCATAGGCGCCGATTAGAGTGTTAGATCAATCTGGAAATTTTATTCAGTTCATCAAAATAGTGATGACATCTTTTGTGTTCTGTTTTATCCCTTTATCTTATTTGTGGATGGCCTTATAGGTTTTGGCAAAAATTTGAGCTTGGACAAATTATTTGATATCATTGTGTTAAGCAGGTATTGGAGGAGCCTGCCAAATGTATACAAGAACTTCTTGCCTCTCCTGGAAACATGCTGTCTGGAAGAATGCATGTTTATCTAGATAACAAGATATTTCGTATCATTAAAGGTTTGCTGGCTTCTCAAATTTTTATTTCTTTTATTGTCAATTGCATTTTTCTATGCTGTAGGTGTTTTAATAATTAAAGTACTCTTACTTTTCCTGATTTATGGATGTTATTAAGAATGTTGTCTAGTTGTATATATATGGTGTTTTTGACTACCCATTCACAACCTACTATTTTTGTGTGGTTGATCCATTTCTTATTATTCTTATAACCAATTTCTTCTTTTTTCTTATTCTTGTTACAAACTTATCTAAGATTGTTGGTTTATACGTAGATCATCATGACCATAGCAGAAAGTTTGTGGTGGTCCAGAATTGCTTTTAGTTTGATATGACAATCTACTATAGAAAATTTGGTTGATTCTGCTATTGTTCAGTTAATCCCAATCCCTTGCTACACAAATATTGATGACGTCCTGTTCTTGAACATTTTCCGATAAAATTATGGACAGTTGAAAAAGTATTCAAGTATGAAATTGAACAAGGAAAGAAGGGGAAATGCTTAATTTTCTCCGATGTCAAAGATATAGTGCATGTTTGGCAAAGTTTTATTTTTTATTTTTGAAGCTAGTAAAACATACTTTTTAGTCACTAATTTTGTACAACCCACAATGTACTACTCACACATTTCATAGGATCCACAACTTATAAGCATTTAAAAGCTTTGCCAAACATATGCATAATAATTTGGCACAGTTTGGTGCGTGTCCCAAGGGATATAAATTAAGCCCTTGCTTGGTGGGGATTAAAATAAGATTTTAAGTAGGTTTTGATAAAAGTTGATGAAATATATGGTTGAAAAGTTGTGTGACCTATAAAATATGTTGTTAAAATTGATTCTTGATTTTGATTTAGATAGAAATCTGAATTTTAATCAGTACCAAACAAGGGCTAAGTGAGCATGAAGACCCTTTGATTACTGTCACTTGTTACTAACGCCATGTTTGATACTTTTTGGAAACAGATGATTTTGTAGAGGAAGTAAAGGTGAAGGAAGGAGCTCCAAAGCTTCATTCTGTTTATCCAACATGCTTTGAAGCCGGGAAGCCTATGGAGTTTGTTGCTTGTGGAACCAATCTACTTCAACCACAATTTCGGTATGATGGAGATGCCTTTTGTACATGGAGAGATTTTGCTAACATTTCTTTTTGCATTGTTTAAATAAATATTTCTTTGTTCTCAATCTTTCTCTAAAATCAGATCAACTTTCATGTCTACTTAGCTCTTGTGAGTTCTCTAATTTTACTACCTTTTTGCATCCGTTATCTTAATAGCATAGTACATTTAACAGGTGGGAGACTGAAGGGGTGGCAGAAAGGAAAGCAGAAACGGGAGAGGGAGGGGATAGGGGATTTTGTGGGTGCTTTTTGTGGTTTGGCCACAAAGATGGATAACTTTTTAATGGATATGAAGAAGTATTAGAAAATTTTTTGAATAGCAAACCATTTTGCTTGTTGCCTTGTTCTTCCAAGAAGATAAATGGTGTTAAGATTTAAAAATCGCGAGATAATTTTGTCTTTTCAACAATGATGGCTGCATAATGTATGAAATTAAATAGTTTTTAGAATTGGCCGAGGAATAGGTAAGCTAGATATTGCATTGGGTTAGGGTTTCGAGAATTGTTTGTTACTCTTTGAAAAATCCAAATTTTCGATTGTTCTCCCAATGAGGTTCCATTTTCATATCTTTCTAGATTGTCTTAAATACTTTTTATGGCCATGGCAGGTTTCTTGTATCATTCGGGGGACGGTATCTGGCATATAATATTGGTGTTTCGTCGGTGGGCCGTAAGAAAGAAGGGGACACCAACGCTGACCACCAGTTACTGAAGATATACGTCCCTCCAACTGACCTCTATCTTTTTGGCCCTGCATTTGTAGAGGTGAGTGACAGCGAACCTTTCTTTTACCTTTATATTTACACAGTCAATTGGTATTGATTCTGGCATTCTATACAAAGTCTTCAAGCTATATATAGTATCAGGTTGACCTGTTTTATACTTGTCTTAAGATTGTGTCAAGGAAAAGTGATTCATTTACAACATTAATAAAACTGCCTCAGACCCAATAAATTTGGTATAGGGTTCATGAATCCCTTTTCGCCACAGCTTTGTTTCATTGCAGATATGCATTTGAATCTATGTCGAAAATACTTCACATTTCATTCAAGTTATTTAAACCACACAATTTTAAAGACCTGTTGAATCTACCTTTCAAGAAATTGTGCATCAAATTCAAGCAACTAAAGAAAGTGCATTTTTTAATATTGGTTGCATTATTTAGTAAATTCGGCTGCGGTTTCAACTTTTGTAGGTTGAGAATCAGTCTGGTTTATCGAATTTCATTCCTATTCTTATTGGGAACAAGGAAGTTTGTGAAGAAATGGTGTTGTTTCAACAAAAGTTTAATGCATCTCATGGCTCCGAAAAACAACAGTTATCTTGCCCGAGACCTGCATGTGAAATTTTGGCCTCTAGACAAGCCGAGTTCTCAGGGTTTCTCTTGGAAGTAGCATGGTCACTCAAGAAACCCGTATCGGAGCAACAGCTGATGTCTACTCAAGTACAAAGATTCAACTATTTACTGAATTTTCTGATAGAACGGGAATCTACCATCATTCTGGATTGTGTGTTGGATTGCATGAAATCTGTAATGGACAATAATTTGGTTGGTATTTCTGATGCTGATATGAAGTCATTTCACAGAAATATGGATAATGCAAGAAATATACTTCACCGGAAACTAGAGGAAAAAGAATATTTAGTTATGCATGCATTGGATGGAAAATTTTCTCGTCAAAGCTCCCAGCGTGATAGTCGATTTTCTGTTCCGGCTACTAATCAGGTGAGAACATCACGTGTTTGTTTACTTTAATCTGCCTACTGTGTAACTTGTGTTTTTACTTATTAATAGAAGGAACATCAATAAGAACTTAGTGAATAAACATTTTTTTATTTTAATAAGTAGGATGGCCATTTGGACATTTTCCAGGGTCTCGAAAGGACAGAGAATACGTTGGAGTCGAGAGTAGTTCTACCTTCTCTAGAAGAAAGTGTAACTGTTCCTCTTTTGAATGGAGAGGTAACGGGCCTAAACCTTAAGGAAAGGCCACGAAAGTCTTGCAGTCGCTTATTTGCAAGGACAGATTTGACCTCTCGCCCCTTCATCTTTGCAATTGTTGCTGCTGTTGTTTGTTTTGGAATATGTGCAGTAGTTCTCCACCCTCAGAAGGTCAGTGAGATTACTACAACTATTCGCAGTTGTCTGTTCGACAACTCTTAGTGCCTAACTGGTATGCAGTATGAACAAGATTTTAGCTTTTTTTTGTTCCTTAATACTGTTCAGTATTGTACAACCTACCTTACCAAAAAAGGTTACACAAATTCCGGCAGCTCAGGTGAACTCATCCGTGATTGAGCTGAAAGTTACTGGGAAATGACGTGAAATATTATTGTCCTTGGAATAACCTTGTATAACTTGTGAAGATAATGTAATGGTTAATGGCACACTTGTTTTTGTACAAGAGAATTAGATTTGCGTTCATAAGATAGCAATACAAATAGTTTGCCTGTCTCCATTTTAGAAGTATATGTAATCCTTTTGTTAGCAGTTGGTGGTCATATTTAGTGATCTAGCACATGTGAAATACTTAATTCATGATGTCAAATGTTACCCTTTTGGTCATGTTTGGTGCACCAGGTTAGGCTGTACAAGAAATTTAGTAAAAATTTATAATAGTTAGTCTTCGGATTCGATTTCTTTCTAATGACAACAATAAATTTAGATTTTTGGATTTGTCGAACAAAACAACATTCAACATTTGAGTTCTGATTGGAATTCTAATTCTAATTCAAGTAAACAAAAAATGAGTCTGCATTTCTAGTTCTAAGATCAGCAAACAATGAATTTGGTAGATAGTGATACAATATCAACGGTATAACATAATAAGGATGCTGGATATAAGCTAGATAAAAAATAAAGTAAAAAAATAAAATTAATGAAATTCATTTGAATGAAAAATTAATTCATATTAATTTACTATTTTATACGGTCTAAATGCAAAGTATTAACAAATCTTATATTCCCATCTGTTAGTAGGTAATTCACACAGGACATGTTCGCTACATGACTTTTCATTGAGGTGCCAAGCAATATTGAAAGATATTGTATTACTTTTCATCAAATCTTAGTCAGAAAATATGACACAAGGTCACGTTAATTAGAACTATATATTTTAATGTTAGCCACAAAAATTTAACATACTCTGTTACTTGTAATTGAAGTTGACATTTCACAAAGGTCCGTATGTCACTTGTTATTCAGTCACTGAACCATATAATGTTACTTTGAAATAAAATCAACATTTCACAAACTGTAACATAATGTATTTTACTCATCATTATCTGTCACCGGCACAATTAATAACAATTTAAAAGCTGCATCCATGTAAATCAATCACTAATGTCCACATATTCTCTATTGAGCTCCACCAATCTTTCAACAAGAAACCCTAGATATCTTTAAAATTTGAGCAAATTTCATAGTTTCTTCAAATATTTGGGCGAAGACAAAACTATCAATCAACACAACACAAATTCAAGACATGCGTTTCGGTCTATGGTGCAATTGTCAATGGAAGCAATGACATCCACATGGCCGTTAGGTAATAACGATGGTTGGTTGATGGTTAGAGTTCAAATGGTTTTCGTTTTGATTTGTGGTGGCTTCTGGTACGAGAGGTGTCGATGGTGGTGGTTCAGATTGTCGCGGCAATCGACAATGGTGGTTCATAGGTGATTTTTGTTTGGCGTTAATTTGGTGGTAGTTAGTGGTATTTCAATCTAGTGAGTGAATTTTAAACCGATTTTGTTAATATCTTTTAATGAATTTTAATTAATCTAAAGAAAAAATGTGTCACATTGTAAAATATGGTACTCATCAATTATAATAAAGAAAAGTTAAAAATCCAGTACTTTGCAAATTAAGCATGTTTGGATGTCTTTAAATTTTAATTTAAGTTGTGATTTACTTTTTACTATCGAATTATTGTCATCGCATTCTATAAAATCCACATCTTATAAACATTTGAAAGCATCTTATAAGCAGAACCCTTTTGCAATTTACTCATTTCCAAGAGAAGAACGGCAAACACGGTGCTTGACTTTTATAGCGACAGGCCCATGGGCCTTAATCAAGTCAATTCTCCCTTCGTTAGTCCATCTATTAGTTTCCATAATTTCCACATATTTTAATTTTTTAACCAATTATAAAAGAAAAATTGCAAATCTAGTCCTCACGTTTGCTCCATTTGCACTTCTTCTCCAATTTTCAAATTTTTTTTTGTAGTGCATTACGGCCACCTTTCCACTAGCGAATTCTTTCCAAAAAATAGGTTTAAAATGTCACATCCGTCTTAAATGCTTAAATAAGCATGAATATACTACTTTAGTTTCGAAAGGATTTCTTTCTTTCTTTAAAGAAAAATTTAGGAAAGAAGTTATCTTTCTCAACCCTCCTAGATGCTCCACCCAAGTATCTTATACCTATGATCCGAAGCTCCAAGTGAACCTAAACCAACACCAGCTTCATCTTCGATGCATTAGCCATTAGTCATTCTCGTTAACAACTCCACATTTATGCACAATATTGGGGCTAGCTAGTTTCATTTAGGAACAATTTAATTAAAGCGATTTTACCCTATGGATGACATCATTTTTTAGTTTTGCATGCTTATAGGTAACATATTTTCCTTGTTTGTTATTTTTTGTTTTTATTCTATTTAATGTTTTCAGTAGTATTTAATAGTGTAATACATGAACGATTCACTACAATAGTTTTGAATGGGATTCGTCTTCACAATTAGAGTTTAGATAATTATAAATTCTACCGTCACATTTTTCAACGTTTAAAATATATTCAAAGTCCATTGGACAATGCGGTAAACTATCACATAGATTGATAATCATTTAGATTTTAAATGAATTTGGTTACTCTTACAATTAAATAAAAAATTTCAAATCAAGAATTTAAATTATATTTAAAATTTGAGAAAGATGGTATAACGTTTGGGATGAAGGCTGCAATTTTCTCAGGCACACACACGCGCGCACACACACACTACTTTCGCGGCATTCTTTTGCCAATTGCGAATTCCCTCGCGTAAGCTACACTCCCCGACGGAGGGTGGACTTAAATCCGCCACTGTGAAACATTGGACTGACACAATCTTTCAAAATCATTCCCAAATAATCCAAAATCTAAACTTTAAAAAACCCATTTCAGGTACGTGTCATTGCTCACGTAAGCCAGCTCTATCGCGTCAGTCATCACGCAACTGCGAATTCATAAACTGTAATTGTTCATCTCGTTGCTAGATTTTGTGGATCTAATTCTGATTGTTTGAGAGGTTGAAAGCTTTTACACGCTTGATTTTCTATATTTTTTGCTAAATAATCTTGTTTTTGTCAAAGATAATCGTAATCTGTTCTCTCTGTGAATTTACTCTTAAATGGAATTTGGGAATTTATGAGTGTGATTTAGTTCTTACAAACTGAATCACTTTTTGTAGGGATGGTTTGAAGAAACTTTGAAGACCCAGTAAAAACAATAGAAGAATCGGGTGTTAAATAACTTGATTCAGTAATTTAGTACTCATAAAAGGGCCATTTTTTATTTATTTATTTAATTTTTTTTTTTAAAATTGGTTTTGTAGTAGTTGTTGAAGACATATATTGCCATAAAATGAGTAGGTATAGAAGGTATAATGATATTTGTGTTGGTAAGGAGGATGGGGGATCACATGGTGATGTTGTTCTGGGTTGTCATGATGCTGAAATTGCACAACTCTCGAAGATCACGTCAAGCCCGCATGAGCGGCTGAGCAAGGTAGTTCCATGTAAGGCGAGATTGCCTGTTTCACCTGTGAAAATGTTGGCCGGCAGGGAATGTAACTATAGTGGAAGAGGGAGATTCTCGTTGGCAGATTCTTGTCACATCTTGAGTCGGTATTTGCCCATCAATGGTCCTTCAGATATTGATAAAATGAATAGCTGTGCATATGTTTCACAGTTTTCAGCAGATGGTTCCCTTTTTGTGGCAGGATTTCAGGTACCGGCCGCTACAAAGCACCCAATGTATTCATGGCCTATGACGGTCTAAATAATGACTCAGTTTTTGTGGAAGCTTTTTTATTGGGTTAACAGGCTGTTATTCTGTTTTGAACAGGAAAGTCATATTAGAATATATAATGTTGACCATGGATGGAAAGTTCAGAAGGACATTCGGGCAAGAAGCTTGCGATGGACGATTACTGATACATCCCTTTCACCAGATTGCCGTTTGCTTGTAAGCTTGCGGGAGTTGTAAATTAGATTGTGCGAATGTCTATTAGCATGTTATTGCAAGTCATATGTGGCAGTTATTGATGCATTCAGTTCTTTGGTGGAAAGGGGAAGGGATTACTTATAATTTCATCTGCTGTAGATCATAAGGATCCACTAAGACAATGTCAGTTCAGGAGTTAGATGCATGACTAACCATTCTATCTCATTATAATTTTGTTCAGATTATAGATATTTCTTTATTTCCATATAACTTATCAGTTATGAGATGTGGTTAGGGTGATGTTCTTCCTAGGTACAATTTTCTTTCTTTTTTCTCCCTTCTCCAGCTAGTTTCTTATTTCAGTTTTGTTCGATGCAATTACCACAGGCATATTCCAGTATCTCACCTGTGGTCCATATTGTCGATGTTGGATCTGCTACAAAAGAGTCTCATGCAAATATAACAGTAAGTAGTACAAGTTCTATTGATATTCAGATTTGGAATGCTATAGCAATGAGTTTCTAACACTTCTCATCTTGTTTGTACTTCAGCTCTTCTGTTATTCATCATATGACGTTTAACATCATGAATTGAGTATTTCCTTGCTTCCGTTAAAGAATAGTTTATGGACAATTGGTCATTGTATATGATTTATCTGATTTGGTCACTGGTAGGATGGATCATGCATCACTAAAAATATCACTAATAAGAAAAGAGGGTAAAAGAAAAGAAAAGAAAAGAAAAGAAAAGATGTACAACTTGTGTATTTACTATTGATATGGTACGGGCACTAAAGCTCTGATTGTTTAATTGAAAGCACTCAAAATTATATATTTCTTTCATGTCCACTATTCTGAAAATATTGTAAGAATTTTAGAGGGAGCTTTTGCCTGCATAAGTATGAGTGGTCAGGTTTATTTGCTCAGGAGCTCCCAGACAGAGACTTGATGAACAATACTAGTAGTTTTGCTGTTGGCCTATCAAGAGACATTATGTTGAAATGATTAAATACTTCAGTTAGTTTCATCTGCCATAAATTATAATCAATGGTTTTCTTATTTAGGAAATTCACGAAGGTTTGGAGTTTTCATCTAATACCGACGATTATGAGGATTATTCTTTTGGAATCTTCTCTGTAAAATTTTCAACTGATGGACAAGACCTTGTAGCAGCTAGCAGTGATGAATCTATATATGTTTATGATCTTGAAGCCAAGAGAGTAAGCCTGCAGATCAAAGCTCATAAGGTACTGTACTCTATTTTGCAATTATGATGTATATCTAGAGTTATTTTGTCTGGTTCTTCAACTTGACCATGTAGAATGAAAATTTTTAATATATTTAACTGCTACACAAAATTCATTATGAATCTATATTTGAATTCATATTTTCTAATTCAATTATGTCACGTTATTGATGTCTCTGAGCCTGGCCAATTGAAGATTTTTATTTTTATTATTTTTTTGGGGTGGTGTGGTGTCGGGAGGTTAGGGGAAAAATATCATTTGTGATACTTACTACCTAAGTTTGCTAAGCAGCATGGAAAAATAGGTGCTGGGACAAATAATGCTCTTATCCTTGGAATTGAGGCTGATTTCTTCTTGTTCTCGTCATTCATTATTATAGAATGTTACAGGAAATGAATTTATAATTCATGGACTGTGTTTATAAAGATTGTTTGCCATATACGGCTGCAGTCACTCTCCAATCTTTTTTTTTTCTTTTGCAAATTGATATAAATTTTCTCCAATCTTGGTTTCTATGGTTTACTTCTAAATTTGCTATATTTTTATGTTCTTCATTGGCTAGATTCATATTTCTAATATAATAATTTGACTTGCATATCGTTTGTAGTCTGATGTCAATGCTGTCTGCTTTGCTGATGAAACTGGCCACATCATATATTCTGGTAGTGACGATCATCTTTGCAAGGTAAAACTTATCATGTCCTTTCTCTAGTCAATGAATTGCCATTTGCACATTCCCATCCTTGTAAGTCCTTTTACACATTGACCTTTTGTCTTGAAGTAGAAATTCCGAGTTAGACAACTCTAGTATATAGAGACGCTTCAGGTTGATTAGCAGGTTCCCAAGGGTATAATCCATGATGATTTTTTTTTTCCTCCAGCATTATTCATGCCTAAATCAGAAGAAGAAATTTTCTCTGGCTTTATTTATAATTATGTAATATTTCCTGGATTGTTGGAGCCTATATTTGGAAGACTGAACACCTGAACCTGACATGAATTCTTCTTAGCTCCAATGAATTATTGGGTTGTTTTAGCCCTATTTTTGTCAAAAAAAAAAAAAAAAGTATTTTTGAATAGTGTATTGATAGGAAACGTGTGGTCAAAAAATAAGAAAAAGTTTTAGGTTTGCATTTAATATTTATTTTATTGAAGAATGTGTGGTTGAAATGTGGTCAAAACACTATTCAAGAATGTATTCCCAAAAAAGAAAATGGGGCTCAAACAAGGGCTATGTTATGGGGTTGAACACCTTGATAATTACAAGTCCGTTAAATCAAGCCCAAAGCTAGTCTAAATTTTAAACAATTAGTCGTTTTAATATTAATAGCATATAATATATATATATATATTCTAGACTTGCAATTTACAAATTGTTTCCAATCATAATTCTGCTGTATTAGTTCATCCTGGTATGGGACAGGCGCTGCTTTGATACAAGGGAGAAGCCTGCTGGAGTCCTAATGGGACATCTAGAAGGCATTACTTTCATTGACACTCGTGGAGATGGCCGTTATTTTATCTCAAATGGAAAAGATCAGGCTATTAAACTTTGGGACATCCGGAAAATGTCATCCAATGTAGAATAGTAGGTGTTTTGAATACTTCTTCTTTATGGAAATGGGAAAAGGTTACTGCATGTGTAAAGCTTGAATTATTTTCCCAATAGATTCTGTCGTTGGATGTTGTCGTCTTGTATTTTCCGCTAGAATTTAATGTCTGGCCTTTCCTGATACTGACTCACTAGTAGATTTGCATTATTTTTGGAGATATGATGGGGTGTCAAATCAATTTTAGTTTCAGTTTGCTCAATCTCAGTACTTATGTAATGTTTTCCTTGATGTAGCACTTCATTTCGTAGATATGCTGAATGGGATTACAGATGGATGTCATATCCAGGGCATGTAAGAAATATGAGACATCGAGATGATCTGTCAGTAGCTACATATAAAGGCCATACGGTCTTGCGCACTCTCATACGCTGTCATTTCTCTCCAGCAAATAGGTAACTTAACATTGTTATTGGCTCTTGGGTAGAGTGTTTATCTTGTATGCATGTTGTTTATTTGTGTTTTCATCAAGTGTATCTTAATGCTACTGTCGAAATGTCAACTTTTAGTTTCAGTTGAAAATTTGGAAAAATGTCTAGTATCACCCCCTATTGTGCCAAATATAGGATATATTGTAGTCAGTGGCTAAAAAAGTTGTGAAATGGTCCGTACAATTAACATCTCGTCAATAGGTAAACGTTTGCAGGACCAGTAACTCTGATTCTTACACATCAAGTATCACCCCTGTTTGCGCGAAATATAGGATATACTGTAGTCAGTGGCTAAAAAAGTTGTGAAATGGTCTGTGATGTAGGATGAATAAGAAAAAAAGAAGAAGGAACGGGGAGGAGAAATAGAGAGAAGGGAGAAGAATTAGGGGAAGAGAGGGGAGGGAGAAAACGGCTGCAAGCCAAACAATATTTCAATTCTAATTCATCATCTCATCAACTGTCTCAAATGAGAAACAAAACAGAAATAAATAACAGAACACAAACCCTAAAGAGAAGGGTTTGGGCCAAACCCACTAAATAAGCCCAATAACAGAAATATAAATAATAATCTAAATAGAATATAACTAATAGTCCAAAAAGAAAATAAATAGTAAATGGAAGAAAATAAATAGTAAATGGAAGAAAATAAATAGTAAATGGAAGAAAATAAATAGTAAATGGATGTCCGCATCAACTCTCCCGGGGTGGGAGAAAAACTAGACCCCGTCGAGTGGATAAATCAAAATGTTGCAATGAATCTGATGCTAAAGGCTCCAAGTCATGCCATGGGGGACGATTTTTCTGACGAACCAAATATCGAAATTCCACAAATGATGACGGATGCCAATTGCAAATTACCCGCAAAAACATGAGCTGACCAAGATAACTTAGGCGAGTGAGAATTTTGCTGACTCTTATAAAGCTCCAATAAATTTGGCTCACGCCGCTGAAGTCTCTCTTTGGGAATCCATGTACCGTCAGAATCAAGTCGATCCATCCAATGAACAAGAAAGCACTGAATCTCTCTATTATTGGTCAACACAAGCTGTTCATCCAAAATAACATCAATTTTATTTTTGTGTGCTGTGATATGTGGGATTGAAGCAGACATGGCAAAAGATTCAGTGTGGGAATTCTCATGTGGGAGTAGAAACGGGTCATCAGAGGGGCTAAAATAGTCGTTGTACGCATCGAAGTCCGTAACAAATAAAATAGGGTGGTGGTCATAATGTGATAAAAGGTCATTGACATAGGCATTTTGACCAACATGCTTTGAAATTTTAAAAAGACCAGCATTACACGCTTGCAATATAACATAATCCCCAATATTAAATTCAAAGTATTGTTTATGCCAATCAACTTGAGGTTTATATAATGCTTTACTTGCTTCAAATTGTTTATTGATCTCAATATACAAGCTATGAAAATGTGATACAACTACCTCAACTGACATAGACACACAAGCATGTGGATGCATGAGAATAAGGTCTAGAGGTTTCAAAGGTTCACAACCAAGAATAATTTCAAAGGGTTTTAGACCTAAAGATCAGTTCACAGGATCGTTATATGCAATTTGAACAATTGGAGGGATCAAGTCCCAATTCCTAAAATTTTTCTGGACTAGAGACTATAATAAATTGTCAGGGTTTTGGTTAGCACTTTTATTTTGACCCTCAATTTGAGGTTGGTCAATGGTGGATAATTTTGCCTTAGTGTTAACCACAGGCGACTGGATTTTCCAAGGGTGACTGGTGACATCATCAAGCTCTTTAACTTGGGTAAGGGTATGACATATAACATGTGATCGAGAATTGTCGGAGATAAGGGATATAGTATCCAAAGTCTCGAGAAGAGTCTGGATTCCACCTAAGGAAGTGTCCTCACTATTATCCAAGTCATCAAAATCTTCAAGTTTAGGTTCATAGACTCGATCTTCTAACGGCTCCTCTATTACATTCTTTCGTTCTTTCATGACTAAGGTTCGATTAGGATATTTAGAAGAAATATGACCAAAATCTTTACAGTTGACGCACAACAAGTGAGAAGAAGACCTTGGAGTTTCAGAAATTCTACCCTGATTTTTCAAGATTGGAGAACCATTAGAAGGGGGAGGTCCTAAAAGGGACTTAACGGGAGGAGGTGGAGCCAATGAAACCAAATGATGATTATCAAAAATTTTACCCTTATTTTTCAAAATTAGAGGAACATCATATGGGGGAGGTCCTAGAAGGGGCTTAATGGGAGGAATTGGAGCCAATGACACCGAAGGATGATTGTCAATATGCTTTCTACATGGAAAAGAGGATCTTGGACTATCACGACCTTTACAATTATTTTTCCAAATAGGAGAAACATTAGACGGAGACGGTTTTATGATAGACTTATGATGAGGCGACGCTAATGAGATGGGTGAGCGACGATGACCACGCTTTTCATATGGAGTACTAATAATCAACTCATAATCTCGAGCTAAAGAGTAAGCGTGATCAAGAGTAGTGACACCTCGAAGGAAAAGCTCGCGCTTAAGATCATCTCTCAGACCTTGGCTAAACCTACTCAAAGTCGTGCTCTCATCCTCAATTAAATGACATTTGGTTCGAAATTCCTCAAATTGCGCGATATACTCAGTCACTAATTGATTTCCTTGTTTAAGGGCATTCCATTGAGTAAGAATTTCAAAATTATCTCGTTCTTGCTTACGAATCTGATCCCTATTCCTACGAT